TATTACAACAAATTCACAGGCGAAACCATATCTTTAATTGCACTATATAATATTTGAGTTATTACTGAAAAAATCAGTCTTTAATCACGGTTAATTGTATGTTACTTTTTTCCCAGTCACCCATCCTGATAGTCTGATAGTTTTAACTTTAGACGATGATGGATAAAATTCCGTTACTACTACCCATGTCGTCTAGCTATAAAGAGATTTTCAACAATGTATAATTTAAGCCATTGATATTATGTTTTTTTTTTATATACAAAAATGACAAAATTGCTATATAGCTGATCTACATAGAACATATATCTTCCGTATAAATAATTTATATAACTGAGTTGCTAGACAACGAGCTAATTAACCCAATTAATACAAATTATAAACACTGATATATAAAATCTCTAAAGTTACAACACCGAATGCGTATATCTACACGTTAGCTATTAATTGGGCAATTATTTATTCGAATTCAAGCATTGATAACATCAGAAAACATAATCGGTGCAACTCAATTCTTCAATTATATTATATAATATTCGATTTTATAATTTATACAATTGTATATCGATATAAATATTTTTAAAATTTTATAACAAATTCATTCCGTGCAACGTACGGGCGCAAATACTAGTTATTTAAATAAAAATTGTGATGATGTGGAATTTATTTGAATAGCAACCATTAGACAAGTTATTTGAACAGTTTACCTACTTTCGGATGCACTGTCAACGCCGAAGAAGAGAAGAAGCTAATCAACGCTTTCGATGCCTTCGAATGCACTGTCGTTAATTCGAAAGTCTTCTGCACTGCATCTATTCGAACACAAGCTAATTGACGCCTTCGAACACATAACGAAGTTTATTTTGTTGAAGGGCTCGAACACATAACGACGCCTTCGAATTACCTGCACTGCGTCGGTTTCGAATTATTTAGGATAGGGTTAATTTGGTTGAAGGGCTCTCTCTGATTAGTTGCACTTCGAATTACAAACACTATGATTAGTTTTGCTGTAGTCGGTTTCGAATTATTCATTCATAATCTAGGAATTAACAATTGGGGTTTCAAATTACATATTTAGGATGAGGTTAATTTTGTTATTTAATTGTCATGTCATCATTGTCACATAATCAGTGACCGGGCCAAGTCAGACTCCACCGAAGGTAACCTGCAAAAAAAGCTAATCGACAAATTTTTAGAGGTAAGTGTGTCTAATTACATTATGTTTTAGTTAAAGGGAGAAATTGAGCACTTCGAAGTAGTAGATGGACCTATTTGACACTTGTGCCTTTTCTAAATAATTGACAATGTTGACATTTCACTGGTTCCAATTGAACAAGTTTACACATCATAGTTTTATCAATGCATATGAAAACGTCTAAAGAAATTAAAATTTGTAAGTTAATTTTACTATATCATTACAATATCTATTGTAATCATATATTTTGAATTATTTATTATCATCATCTATTGACAGCAATTGTAGCAATTGTCTTTTACAAACTCTCAAAACAATTTGTCTAAAAAACAAATAGAAATTAAAAAAAAAATAATAATTTCATTATTGTGGATATATGAAAAGTATGTGTGTCACTTTATTACTCTTATTAAATTAAATAAATTAGTAGCTACAACAAAAAATAATACATATGCATTTAATTAATTTAGAATTAGATATCTAAAAATGTATTTATTTTAAAAAATTATTCATTATAAAAAGGGAAAATGACACTTTTTCTCCCTGAGTTATATACTTATAGCCATTTTCCCCCCTCAATTATTTACGTAAGCACATTAGCCCCCTCAATTATTCTAAAAGTGGTGGTTTTTCCCCCTGATATATTAAATTGACATTTCTACCCTTAAAATGAACATTTTATTTATTTTACTTCTCCAATAAATTATCGCGTATACGTAGGGATGACCACGGTTCAGATCAAACTGAACCGGACACTATAGCAATTGAATAAAAAGTTTTCGGTTATGATTCAGATCTAGAACCTAATATTTGGATTTCAATTTATTAAAATTATGAATTAAAAAATTGGATCTTGAACCGTGAATCGGCGGTTCTGGATCCAGTTCGCGATTTTGAACCGTCTTTATTTTAAAATTTTATTTTTTATTTTAAATAGTCTAAATTCAACAATAAATGTATTTTATTTTTTCAGTTCAGAACATGAATCGTCCGTTCCGGTTCGCGATTTTAATAAACTCTAAATATCGAGTTTCGATTCTAAATTGTAATTGGAATATTTCGGTTTGGTTGCTATAGTGTTTGTTTGGTTTGAACCAAATTATTGTCATAATTTGTTGGAGAAGGAAAATAAATGAAATATTTATTTTAAGGGTAAATATGTCCATTTAACATTTCAGGGGGAAAAACAGCCACTTGAATAATTCAGGGGGAGAAAGTGCTATAAGTATATAACTTAAGGGGAAGAAGTGCCATTTTCCCTTATAAAAAATTAAAAAGAGATATTTTTTTTTTTTGAATGCTACTAGCTCTATTACATTGTAGTATCTGTTCATATACTTTCTCAACCTACTGAAACACAAAGAGCTAGAGCTAATAACGCCTCCACTGAGGCTCAAACTCACAATCTTCCAAATGGAAGTCCAACCCGGGTACCATTGGACCACATAGTCCTGGTAAATTAAAAAGAGATATAATTTCATTATTTATATTATCTTTATTTTCTACAATTCAAAGATTCCTTATCTTCAAATTTATTAATTTATTATATTTACTACATTGTCCATTGTCTGCTTTTTACATTATTATCTTGTAATTAAATATCAAAGTTATAATACAAAATATGTTATATATATATATATATATATATATATATATATATATATATATATATATATATATATATATATATATATACCAAGTATTTTATACAAATATAATAAATATTAATATTTTGTTCAATACTTTCACATGATAACCTACGACACACATTTCACAACAACATGTAGGGGAAAAACTATCACTACCAAATATCAACATGTGTTTGTAAGATAAAGAGTTCATAGTACAACTAAGATTCTAGTCATATACACAGCAAAACAAATTTAAACCTTCCTACACCATAATCTCATTGCATGATGAATCCTTCTAAGCTACCACCAGTAACCCAATTGCATATATGACACACTAATAATAAAAAGAGGACATGTATCGAAGATGAACATAATGACAATGCTACCAAAAAGAGAATTAAGTAGAATTAGAGAAATTTAAACCGAAAGTAGTATTTATTTAGACTATCGCATTTAGACTAAATATTTAGACTAACGTTATTACAAAGTTGCCAATATTTATTTTAGTGACATTTATACTCAATCTCTCATATATTATATTGCATTTATATACTTTAAATTATCGATTTAAATAAACAAATTCCACAATTCATTTCTGGCGGAAGTGGCGGCAACAAGCGGAAGCATGGTTCACGCCAATTAATAGGATTTTGTGTTGCAAAAACTATGCTTATGGTACTATCCAGTGATGTTGCTTCCCTCTAAATTGTTATTGCAGCAGTAAATCTAACATTTCTACCACATGTCATATACACCAAGATAACGAATGATACTTTGATAAATTCTGAAATACTAATTTAAAAATACACATTGGACATTGGATTATTCGCACAATACACGTATGATAACTAGTAATAAGGCTAATAAAGATGAAGAGGTATTATCTAGTAATGTCCACATCTAATTATTTACAACACTCTCTCTTAGAAATTACCATATCATACTCATGCCTCATTAAAAATCTCACTAGGAAAACCTAGTGAAAAAAAGCCTAGTGAGGAAAAGAGTACATAATATATGTGTATTCGTGTGTTGCACTAGCTACTTTGTTAAAAATAAAAAAAAACATTAATTAAGAAATTATATATATATAAAATTCAATAAGGAAAAAGAATACAACTCTTGGTCTTCAAGACCCAATCTTCAGGATTAATTCATGTAAATGTCACTCCCACTGAAGATAATAATCTTCAAATCCTACACAATTGACCTAATAAAGCTTTTCAAAAGAAATAACTGTAGGAGATAAATTTTGTAACACCCCTAATTTTAAAACATTTTAAGCATATGAACTAAAGGCAAATCTACCATTAATCATCCAAACAAAGCGGAACTAACAACATAAGTATCGAGGTGCTATGCTACATCTAGGTTTGAGAACCTAGATGCACAGGCTAGACTAACTAAACAAGGCATAAACTATAATTAATATCCACAATACAATTCGAGGCTCACAGACCATCTAACTAATACTAAGCAAAATCCATGAGTCCATCTAACGCGTTCCGAAGCTACAAGTCAGTACCTGAAAAACATACGGTGTAACAACCGTCAGCGAATAATGCGGGTAACCTACTCCCACATGTTGAGTAAAATATAGGTAGATATAAGAAAACCATTTTGAGACTGGAAGACATATATAACCTAAGCAACTCTAGCTTTTAAACCAAGATCAAGACTCAAGACACAACAACAGACTTGACACTATAGAACAATTACAAAGACTAGCATGCATCCTAAAAACACAAGACAAGACATAATAGACAAGTAAGCTCATAAATAACAAATAGAGGCAACAATGGGATTCAAAGACAATCAATTAGCAAGTAATCATCAAAGCACACAATCCATCTCCCATCCTTATACCAAGTTCCAACCTTTACTCCTCTCCATCCTTATATCAGTTCTAACCTGTACCTCCAGGCCACCCTTATATCGCCCCCCTTATTCCTCCGGAGTAACTACATACCCCACTCCGTAACCACCAACAAGTCCACCAACATGGTAGCACCGAAGTGTCATTCGCATGGTCCGTGCCTCTAACACGACTACCAAGGGGTCAGCGCGTATAGCTCTGACATGACACCGCGACGCTTATAACCTGACCCAAGCCTTTAGCTAGCAAGTCTAAGGGGTGGTCCGTGCCTTCAGCACGATAACCGAGCACTCGTTGTGCTTTCCGTCAACAATTCATTTCCACCAATCACAATCTCATTCCCATCAGTCACACCGATCATTGCGCAATGATCACCACACTCATCATCATTCAATCAATCAACATTCAATCAACAATAATAATCAAGGCATGGTAGCAACGACACGTACTGCACATATATTCCTAGAACGGTACTCAAAACATCATACGAGACTCATAAACATGAAACGGGGTACAACGGATCACGGGGAAACATCAAACGGGGGAAAACATCCCGCCACACCACCCTTTTCCAGTGGGTGGGCGGTGGGTGGTGGACCACCCGCCGGTGGGCAGCCGTGGTTCCAGCGGGTGCCCGGCGTGCGGACCACTGCCGATATCGATAATACCTTTTGAAAACGAGACGCGGGTCTAATACGTTTAACACCTTGAGACGATCCATGGTTCTTTACTCCAAGGATTCACGCAGGTCCTTACTACTTGTCCAATAGGTCAGGTCTCGTTTATAGTTGACAATCTTGAAATCTTCATAAGGTAGCTGGCTGTAATCCAACTTTTGTCTTTTCCTTGTCTGGTTAACGACAAGCCCTCTTTGTCTTTCTTGAAGTCTGGCTTGTCGTCCGATCGCATTTAATACTTTAGCGACCAAATGCTTAGTGTTGCCTTTCTCTTTCCTGAATTGCATCTGGTTAACCGCTCTCGACGTTGGCGATTCTGTGGGCCGCATGTACTTCTTACGGTGTCTTAAAACCATCAAGGTCCTCATTCCCAAGTAAGATCTTCATTGCAGTGAAGCTTAGTGCGCGGTACTTCCCACGCATCCGTCGCCTCCGCGTAACACGCTGAGTCCTTCTTAACAACAATCTTAATATCAACTAATTAACACCAACTTCCAAGCCATCTGTCACGGCAAGGGGTTTATACCGCTCATAGGGTTTTAATAGGGTTTCCAAAAGAGAGAGATGTAGAGATTAGAGCAATGGCAATGATTCCAAGCTCATAACAATTTAAGGCTCCCAAGGATTCAAGTTAGGTACAACAAAGGGTAGGTAAAAGCATAACGGGTGTCAATTGCTTTCAAAAATAATCAAGAATTCGATGTAGGAGTTTCAACAAATAGGAATACCAAGAGGTTGGGGTTCAAGGGCGAATGGCATTTTAAACTGAGGCAAAGCGCTCACAAGGCATCGCGATACAGTTACCTTACATCAAGGATTAACCCATAGCGTCGTTCCACTGATATTTCACTTCCTTTCATCAATAGGCATCCTAGTTCTCTTTCCTTTTTGTCGTAGTTGTAACCTGTACTCACCTAGATAACGTAACTTACCAGGAGATGCACGCCACTTGCTCGAATCGGGGGTTGTGGTAGCTGACTCCAGGTTGTGAGTAACGCAGTCCATCTTCTTCGAGTCATCCTCATGTCCAAATGCTAACACCACATCTTAACTGCTTCGCTTTTAACAGACATTCAAGTCTTCCGTCTCTTAGTCACGGTTTTCATCGAGGCTTTGGCGAAAGTCAGAACGGGGCAACTTACCGGGTAGGTGCACGTCACCCGGTTACGGAGGTAAATTTATCTACTGCACCCTTACCTAGTGTCTTAACTAAAAGAACTAAAGCTGAACAAGCAACAAGTACCTGAAGCTTAATTGAAGGCGATAAATAAACTCACAACCTCACCGCGCGTCCTATGATTCTTAAGTCATAAGTACTTAGATACCTAGAGTTAAACCTTAACATCTTAAAGTCTCAAACTTAGAGTACTATCCTAGATGCAACCTAGATTCTTAAAGTCCAACTCTTAACTTTGTAAGTACCTATAGTTCAAGCTTTAATGTCCTAAAGTCTTATCCTAAAGGCATTGTCATAGGGTCGAACTTAGGCTCTGATACCAACTGTAACACCCCTAATTTTTAAAACATTTTAAGCCTATGAAATAATGACAAATTTATCATTAATCATCCAAACAAAGCAGAACTAACAACATAAGTATCGAGGTGCTATGCCACATCTAGGTTTGCGGACCTATATGGACAGGCTAGACTAACTAAACAAGGCATAAACTATAATTAATATCCACAATACAATTCAAGGCTCACATGCCATCTAACTAATACTAAGCTAAATTCATGAGTCCATCTAACGCGCTCCGAAGCTACAAGTCAGCACCTGAAAAACATACGGTGTAATAGCCGTCAGCGAATAATGCTGGTAACCCACTCCCACGCATTAAGTACAATATAGGTAGATATAAGACAATCATTTTGAAACTGGAATACATATATAACCTAATCAACTCTAGCTTTAAACCAGGATCAAGACTCAAGTCACAACAACAGACTTGACACTATAGAACAATTACAAAGACTAGCATGCATCCTAAAAACACAAGACAAGGCATAATAGACAAGTAAGCTCATAAATAACAAATAGAGGCAACAATGGGATTCAAAGACAATCAATTAGCAAGTAATCATCAAAGCACACAATCCATCTCCCATCCTTATACCAAGTTCCAACCTTTACTCCTCTCCATCCTTATCAGTTCCAACCTGTACCTCCAGGCCACCCTTATATCGCCTCCCTTATTCATCCGGAGCAACTACATGCCCCACTCCGTAACCACCAAAAAAGTCCACCAACATGGTAGCACCGAAGTGTCATTCGCATGGTCCATGCCTCTAGCATCACTACCAAGGGGTCAGCGCGTATAGCTCTGACATGACACCGCGACGCTTATACCCTGACCCAAGCCTTTAGCCATCAAGTCTAAGGGGTGATCCGTGCCTTTAGCACGATAACCGAGCACTCGTTGTGCTTTCCATCAACAATTCATTTCCACCAATCACAATCTCATTCTCATCAGTCACACCGATCACTGCGCAATGATCACCACACTCATCATCATTCAATCAATCAACATTCAATCAACAATAATAATCAAGGCATGGTAGCAACGACACGTACTACACATAAATTCCTAGAACGGTACTCAAAACATCATACGGGACTCATAACCATCAAACGGGGTACAACGGATCACGGGGAAACATCAAACGGGGGAAAATATCCCGTCATACCACCCTTTTCTAGCGGGTGGGCGGTGGGTGGTGGACCACCTGCCGGTGGGCAGCCGTGGTTCCAGCGGTTGCCCGGCGGGCGGACCACTGCCCGCTGGAACTAGGCACGCCGGGCAGCGGGTTGGTGGTGGGGACTCGTCCCCCCACCTACCCCCCAACTGGTATGAAGGTAAAATTCCGGTTCGGGGTTCGTTCTTGGAACCCAAAACCATGTCCAAACACATTTTAACACGAATCAACAACAACACGGATTCGATTAACGAAGATTGAACCAAGAATTATTCCAATTACATTCTAACACGATTCCTAAACATGCCAAGACTCAACATCAACCGCATAAAGGTTCAGGAGCATCCGGAGCCTCAAGAACATCAAGAAATCTATATGCAAAGCCTTAATGACAAGTCCTAGGCTAAACTCAACACCCGAACATGCATAAACCCACCCAATAGCACCAAGAATATCACAACACGAGATTCACGGTATAAACACTAAGGACAAGCTCTAGACATAACTAAATACAAGATCATATCAATAACCACACAGGGCCATCAAGAACATCAAGAATAACAAGAATTCATCGTATAAACCTAAAGACAAGTTCTAACGAGATATACATACAAAATCACACGTTCAATCAACCAACGGAGCCAATCAATAAAAAATAGCAATGAAAATAAGTTTTGTAAGACATGGGTTACCTGGTAGTTTTAATTAAAACTCCTTACAACTTCCTAAGATCTTTCCTCAATCGATCCTCCCTAAGCTTGGTGATGGGGAAATCCTTGGCTTGGAGGGGTTTTCGTGTGGGGAGAGGGAGACATGGGTGATATGGTTCTAATTCCTTCTAATCCCCCCTTTATATAGGTTAGGATCCCTAATACGAATCTAACTAGGTAAGAGATTTAAGAATCCTAATTAGAATCTGATTAATAATGGGCCCTCTTTCTTTATTCCTAACAGATATATAGGTTTAGGATTCCTAATTAGAATCTGACTAGTAAAAGGTCTACTCTCTTTATTCCTAACAGGTTTAAGGTCTTTAATATAGACTAGGGTCCACGGTCCATTGTGGACCACATTAATTAATTAAGGAGATTCTAACTAAATTAAATCTTTTTTAACTGTTCTTAGCAGGATTAATTACATAATTAATTCGGGCTTGAAGATTGTAACACGGGATGTTACAAATTTGGTGCAATCTTCTAGTGAGAATTCTATAAAAGTATTGTAACTCTTCTAAATTAAAGCTCACGTGGGTTGATTTTGACACTATATATATATGCTTCGTCAAATATTCATAAACATACCCGTTTATCATTTGTGCAATATAAGCTTTATTGTCCTCATTTAGAACATTGGGCGTAATTCATAGCATAACCAGTTTGGACTTGGCATTATGAGGATCAATAAAAAATAGCCAGTACTCGAGTAGTCCATCAGAACCATATCTTGGTTTCTCGCATAAATGTCAAATTCTTTGTAACTCGAAAATACTGGAGGATGTGTTAAACATTATTCCAATATTTCATTGTAGAATGAGCGCTAAATGTTGCTAGCAATTTCATCGCGAATACAATATCAGGCCTGATGTAATTATGGAACTTTTGGTCCTAATGTAGTGCTCCAACGACAATGAAGTAATAGACATTTGGTCTTAAGTTATCCACATTATCCTCATCGAGTTTAAACGATTCATTGTCTACTTCAAGAGATTATAGACAACCATTAGTGTAATAAGAACATAATATTTATCCATATAAAACATCTTCAAGACGTTTTTCAAGATATGCTAACTGGTATATAAAACTCTTTCAAGGAAATACTCGAACTTCAGGTTGAGATGATACTTGGTCTTCCTAACTCATTCATTTCAAACTCTGTCTTTAGGCATGAGCTAATATCATCAAGTTCTATATGTGATTCAATAATTGTTATGCATATATCTGTATGTGATTCAATAATATTTATGCATAGACTGAGGTAATAAATAAGCAAATAAATAACACCATTAGAAATTCCTTAATGAACACATAATGACACATATTATTTGCATATCCCTTCTTCAGGAGAAAAACACTCAGTTAGACTATTCAAATACACATAAAACCTTCATAATTTAACATCATACACATTGCGATTTTTCTCATTTTGAGAACCTTAAATCCTTCAGGGACTTTTCGAAATAAATATTAACTACATATCTAAATTTGTTATTTACTGCAAATGATATTAAGTAGAGGAACTTAATGTCATTTATTGTGGAAGAACATATTTTACTAAAATCAATTATGGACCTCTGCATGAACCCTTGGCTACAAAACTCGCTTAATCACACCACCTCATTATCCTAATTCCTCTTACGTACAAGCGCCCATTTTTAACCAACAAAGTTAACATTGAATGGTGTACACGTTATAAAGAGAACTAGTATGATACCCGTGCGATGCACGGGATGAATATTGTTCATCTTAATGTGTAATTGTGTGAAAAATTTAAGAGATGATGCAATATATAAAAAGTTGGAACAGAAATATAAAATGGAAAATAGAAACAATAAAGAAATTACTTTAACATACAATATAGAAAAATAAGAGTGACAAAATTACAAATTATTGAAAACTTCGTGGCATACCACGTTGGTTGTTAATGTAATAGAGGAACTTGAGTTCTTGGAAAAGAATATTTTAAGACCACTTGGGTTGTTAACTCGAGAAACAGCCACGTACAACTGACCATGCACAAAAACTGGTTTTTTAAGTAACAATCCTGCATGTAACAATGTTTGACCTTGACTTTTGTTAATAGTCATTTCATATGATAACATCAATGGGACTGTCTTCGTTGAGGGGGTGTTTGGTTGGATGTAGTTTGGGTGTAATTGGATTGCAATTCTTAGGAAGGTCCAATTACGCCGTTTGGTTGGAGGGAATTGCAATTCCCTCAAAATGCTGAATTTCAATTCAGACCCCCCCCCCCCCAATGAATTAGAATTCGTTTTGATGGGAGAAAAATAGGTATTGTGTCATCCACTCTCTTGTCTTATTATCTGTCATACGTGGGCTTCTCATCCACTCTCTCGTCTCCGTTTCTTTGTTTGAGAAGTCGCAGAATCAGAACCAGAGGAGAAGACCAGCGATTGTGGGGAGGGGACCAAAGGCAAAGCTTCTTTTTCCTAGTTTTCCAGGTAAAATGCTCTATCCTTTCTCAATCTCTTGTTTAACTTGATTATTTTGTATGTTCTTGATTTGAATTTTGGATCTAGGGTTTGGTCATTTTTCTTAATTTTTCATTTTATTTTTTTGTTGTTGTGTTCATTCTGCTATATTTCTTGCTAATTGCAAACGTATTGTTAACTGTTTTGGATTTTTTAGGCTTTAATTGAGTAAATCTTCTTGTATTTTTGGGGTTTGTATTTTCTGAGCTAATATTATATGAACATGCGTAAGGGTTTAACAGTCACAGGTTAACTTTGTATTTTATTTTATAACCTTGATTTGATGGGTTCACAATATGATCACAAAATTGTGTTTATGTGATGTGTACATACAAAGAGAGAGTTGTGACAGCCCTTTGCTGCTTCTCTTCCTAACCCATCTATGGTATCTGCTTTCTGTGCATTTTCTAAAACACCAAAATGATACTTATTAAGTTGCCATGATGCAAGGGGGTTTTTGATGTGTTTTGCACTGCTAATTTCTTTGGATTTTTTATTTCTATGTATATTTTTAATAATTTGATTATGTATACAATTGCAAGTTCAACATTTGGTTGATGATGTAAATGTATGTGTCTGCTTTATTATTTCCACCAACAACTAGTTGAACACAATCTATTGCAATCAACCTTTCTGTCCTGTTTTAAGTTTTGAGTGTTTACTAGCAGAAATTTACTTTACTGCTCAACCTCTCCAAAAACTATGATTCTAGGATCAAAATGCTATGTATGCTTTTGTTTTGTGTGTTTTAAAGCGAGCATTTTGTTGACTTTATTGTTTATAGATAACAAGAATAGCAATGGATGAAAGAAGAAAACAAATTGTGGCTGCTTTGACTGTATTCTTGCAGATGTATACTACCATTACTACTTTTTTACTTTTGATGGCATCAACGGCATCCCGACCAAGAATTAGTAGGCGTTATTCTCTTGATTTTTATGGCAAACGAGTTTATGTGAGACGAATTGTATATGACAATGATGAGGCATGAATTTCACTACTTAGGATGAATAGAGAAGCCTTTTTCAAACTATGTGGAATGCTAGAAAGTATAGGAGGACTTAAACCAACAAAAAACATGCTTGATGATGAACAAGTAGCAATATATTTGCATATTCTTGCTCACCATGTTAAAAACCGAGTCATTAGACAAAATTTTAGAAGATCAGGTGAGAGCATTAGCCGAAGTTTTCATAAAGTTTTAAATGCACTATGCATTTACAAGGTCACTTGTTTGCAAAACCCGAGCATATCCCAAGTAACTCATCGGACAATCGGTGGAAGTGGTTTAAGGTATTTACAACTTTATGTAACTAAATTTTGTATATATTTAGGTGTGTTTTTTTTAATTAAGTGTTCTCTATTTGGATTATAGAATTGTTTGGGTGCACTAGATGGAACGTTTATCAAGGTTTATGTACAAAATGCTGATAAGCCTAGATATCGAACCCGTAAAGGAGATATTGCAACAAATGTCTTAGGTGTGTGCACTCCTGACATGCAATTTGTGTATGTTCTTTTTGATTGGGAAGGATCTGTATCCAATAGTCGAGTTCTTCGTGATGCAATTACTGGGGCACATCCATTGAAAGTACCCCATGGTAAGTATTGTTTAGAATTAAGATATGAATAAGCTATTGTCTAATGATTAAGTCACTTATTAGTCTTTTTTTTAAATATAGGTTGTTATTATCTAGTTGATGCGGGTTATGCAAATTCTGAAGGCTTTCTAGCACCTTTTAGGGGTCAACGGTATCACTTGAATGAATGACGTCAAGGTTATCAAACAACAAGTCCCGAAGAATATTTTAAAAATGAGATGGGCTATTCTTAGAAGTCCATCGTATTATCCTATACGGACACATAACCGCATTATTATAGCATGTTGTTTACTTCATGACTTTATTAGGCAATTTATGACTGTTGATCCATTGGAGAATGATGAGTATGTTGGAGTAAATGATGAACCTGGTGAAGATGATGACAATATAATACATACGATTGAGCCCTCGGATGCTTGGATGAATTGGCCAATGGAATTAACAACAGAAATGTTCAATGAATGGCAAGAATCAAGGCAACATTAGGAAACATTATGTTTTATTATGACTTCTAATATTTGTAGTAAAACATTGTTTGATTTGGTATTGTGAACTCTTTTCTTTGATGTAATTCATGATTTTATTTGTTACTGTGAACTCTTTGCTAAGATATAATGAATGAATTTAATAACTTTCATGTTTGTTATAGATAAACTCTCCTGCTATTTTAATGTCTTTATTAACTTTTTGTTACCATAAAGAATTATGGCCCCTAGTGACACAGGCAGTTCAAAAAACAAGTCAAGGAGGTGGACCAATAAAGAAGATGTTGCCTTAGTTTGTTGTATGGTTGACCTTCATAATTTAGGAACAAAGAATGCTGATACTGGATTCAAAGGTGGGTATTTGAATGAGTTGGAGAGGATGCTAAAAGCTAAAATACCAACTTCGGACATAAAAGCTAAACCTCATATTGAGTCAAGGACATTGAAAAAAGATTGGAGCATAGTACATGATCTTTTCACTAGTAATAACAGTGGCTTTGGATGTGATGAAGAAAGAAAGATGGTCACGACTGAAGAGTATGTATGGGATTCTTATATAAGTGTAAGTATTTATATTTCATTCTAATTATGTGAAAACTTTAATTTACTTTATACTTATATGAAAACTTCATTTATTTAGACACATAGAGAAGCTGCTCAATTCAGAAGGAAAAGTTTTCCTTTCTATCATGAATATAGTTCTATCTATGCAAAAGATCGTGCAACAGGGAGGGATGCACAAACTGGAGAAGATATTATTGAAGAAATGACTAATGAGGAAGGTATTGGTGGGATCAATCTAGCTAGTGAAGATGAAGATGTTGGTGATGAAGATATGCCAAATAGTAATATCATATTTACCCAAGCTCACTCTTCATCAGGTAATATCATTATACTTATATGAATATACTTTATTCTAATTATCTGAAAACTTTAATTTACTTTATAACCAATCTCAATCTTCATCAGGTAATAGGGCACGAAGTAAAGCAAATTCAGAATCATTGTCTAGTGGTGCAAGAAGAAAGAGGAAGAATAGTGATAGAGATGAACCAATTACTTCACAATCCTTTCACAGTACTGCAATGATGTTGAATGAAACATTGTTGATAGTTGGTGATAAACTAACTAAGAGCATTGGAACTCAATTAACTCTTCAAGAAAAAGTGCAATAGTTAGACGAAGAGTTAATTCAACTTGATGGATTATCAAATAAAGAATATTTGATGGCTTGATTAAACTTCCTGACCATCAAAATTAGATGCTTGTGTTTTTTAGCCTTCCACCAGATCGAAGATTGGGATGGGTGAGAGCTTTTCTTGCTACACATTGACTCATGCGTGTCGTGTTGTAATATTTGTAATGTTTTTTTAATGTAAGCTTTTAATAAGCTTAACATTTTATTAAATGTATGTTATTGTAATATTTTGGATGTAAGCTTTTAATAAGCTTAACATTTTATTAAACTTGTTATATTGTAAAATTACTATTTGAAGATGTTTTGAATTTCACTTTTGAGAAGCCTATCATTGTGTTACATTTGGTGTTTAACTTGTTTAAGTAGGTTGTGTATTTTATGGAGTATTCCTATGGCCAATTATTATTATTATTATTATTATTATTATTATTATTATTATTATTATTATTATTATTATTATTATTATTATTATTATTATTATTATTATTATTAATACATAAGGGCATTTCAGTCATTGTATCACTTATTCCCTTTCAATTCCATGCCTTATTCCTGCATACCAAACACTGTAATTTGAATTCCTACTTTATTCCCACCTACATACCAAACACTGTAATTTGAATTCTTACTTTATTCCTACCTTATTCTTTTCCCATTGAATTACAATACTTTTTTCCCCCCTAATTCCTTCCTTCCAACCAAACACCCCGTGAAGCTTGAATGGCAACCTGGTATCAGATGGTGACATTGACATTTTGGGGATCAACACTTTTGTTCCTTTGTTACCACCATCCATTAACTCAGCTTCAATTACACGGTCTGCTAACTTGGAGATTACCAACTGTGTACCATTACACAATCCAACTGAATGATCAACATTTCTTAACAACATGACTGGTGAGCCGATATTTAAAGTTAATGAATGATTTGGTACACCTGAAGCTCTAATGACGTTCAAAAATTTCGGTGTGTGTACATCACCCAGTATTCCAGCGTCTGCATCGGCTTTGCACACTGTGTCACAACTAAAATATGTTCTACTTTCAGCCGTATGCAACTCACTCATATATTCATTCACTGAGTTCACTACATTGAATGTAGGTGCTAGTATAGCAAGCCCTTGAAGATAACTTGCATCAGAATTACCATTGGCAAACATAGGAAATGTACTTCTAACAATGGTTTCAATATGGTCACCATCTGACGATAGTAACATATGATTGGGTATTTCAACTTCTGCATAACCATCATTAGGTCCACCAATTTTCCCATCACCAATAGAAGCTATCCAATCTCCAAACTGTTTTGACTCTTGTTGTTCTACTGTGCCTATGACAGTATTCAGACGCAAGTTCTTTGTGAGCTTTAGTACCTTGCAACTGTTCCACAAATATGAAGAATTTATAGCTGACACATAGTAGCATATTCAAAAGTCTGTTTGAAAACAAAATGTAAGCAATACTGAAAATGAAATTACAATGAAATTAAAGAAGTAGGATGCATTGGTTATACTATTTGTGATCAAAGCTTCTCTTCTTTCACAATCGCCTTCATCTTCTTTCCCACAACATTAGTAGAATACTGATCATTCAAAGAACGTTTCACTGAACGCTTGAGTGGTTCAACTTCATCAGCATCAATTTCACCGTCATCCTTGGATTTTTCCTTTATGGGTGTAGTGACCTCATCTCCAGAAGACAAATCCTTGAAAATAATATTAACAAACACAAATTAAATATGATTCAAATTAAACAAATAAACATAAATATAGTGATTACTAAATTAATCATCGGGAATATTACCTCTATGTGGTTGTTTTACCTGTTGTGTAATTTTGAACAAATATCCGATTCCTGTGTAATTAATTACAATTAAAATTCTCAATGTGTATTTTTTTTTTAAATAAAAAAAGTGAAATTGGAGTTTCAAATATGTAAATAATTAAATGTTATAAATAACCTGATTCACTCGCATCAAAGACTCGCGGACCTTTGAGATAAGTGTTGCATCACAGTTGAGTTTCATTACTGTAAAAAGGGCCACGATAATTATTCCGCTGGTAAGCTTTCACTAGCACTTTAAATAGGACTTCCTTATCCACAATCATTTGCATCTCAGGGGGAAGTTCATTTGCATTACCCTTCATGATAAATGGAAGTAAAATAATAAACGTATCAATTTTATACATTATATATAAGTAATTTGTTTCATAATTATGTACATTTGTACAGAACACTTCTTGTTACCTTTTGTCTCGAAGTCTTTAAATCTTTAGCTGACTTCCCAATCAATTCATTACATTCCCGATACCACAATAGAAATGGTGCATTTCCAGTGGAATCGACAACGCGTATTAAAGTTTATACCTAAAATTTTCATCTGAATATGAGTTATCACATTTGTCACAGTAGAAACAGTTGGATTCATGTTCTAGTTTTCTTGGACATCTCTTGCATAAGAGGTACCACCAATCGCTTATTGTCTGAATGGCTAAAATTGTAGCCAACACCTAATAACTTACCACCTATTAATTAACAATTATATTAGTGTATATAAAGGAATTGAGAAATTATTAATTATTATATGTCTGTTAACATTAATAAATTAATAATTAATAAATCACAGTTATATCTGTTGTAAAATCTAATTATGGACATTATTCTAGCATTAATGATTTGATTTGTAACAGCTTGATATTTATGGTATGATTCTAGAATAGCTGTTATATATATATTATGTAATGCTGTACAGAGAACTTCAATGAAATAAGAATCCTTTTCTCTGTTCTTCATTGTCTTCTTACTGTTCTTATTATTCTTCGTTTTTCGCGAGCTAAAGGATTTCAAACCTGCAATACAACACGTTATCAGCATGATTTTTGAGATATTCTGAAATTTTATTAAAAAAAGAGAGGTGCATATACTATCATAACGCATAGAAAGGCACAACATTAAAATATACTATAGCAAGTATATAGATAAGGCATAAAAATGCAGAGTTAATAGATATTTACGGATGCAGAAGTATATACTAAAAAATATATATAATCATATGATCAAGTTATCATAAAATCACAAATACATAAAACATAAATACATATGATTTTGAAGCATCCATAAAATAGCAAGACATAAAAAGTTTATAGGATTACCGTTCACCGGGGTTGAGCTTGCTGATAACGTGTTGTATTGCACTAAGTATATACTAAAAAAATTGTGTAAATAAGTTATTTCGAGAATATTTTTTCACTGTTTTCTTTTCCGATTAAACCTTTGTTAAGGTAAATTTGTCGATCTGGCTCTCATAATTTTTTTTTTTTATCAAATATGCTTAACTTTTTTGAACAAAATCGATAATATGAGAATGGATTTGCTGAATAAGAGAATAGATTCAGAACCTTCATTATTTTTTTGAACAAATTTTTCTTAACAGATTTTTTTTTGATAAACAAATTTCTCGAATTTTTTTTTTAAAAAGGGTGTATATATGCTTTTCCAGAAATTTGTACATGCCTGTATGCTTATGTATTTTTCATATTATATAAGCCATATATATGCGTTAAGCATCCCAGATCTATATATCAAAATCCATATTCTGTCAATCAAAATTAAAATTGAAATAAAGATATATGTTTTGAACTTCATACCTGAATCGCCGTGGATTTCTTCCGATCTGCTTCTGTCTCGATCTCGTGAGACCGAAGATGGAGTCGGCAACGATTGATGCTGGCCGGCAAAAATCTGCGATGGCGCCGACGTTGGTCGCAAGCGGCGGCGCTGGGACGGTCTGCGATGATCGGCGTTGCTGCAATTTTTCTCTTCGTCTCCCTTTACATTTTTTTCTCCTCTATCATAACAGGCCATTTTTTAATTGCTCAGTAATCTGGGCCAACATTCTTTGATTCCTTATGAATTTTTTTTTTGGGCCAATGATTTGATATTCTCTACATGAGCCTATGTTATGCTATGTTTTGGACCCATATTTCCTGATCAATATCTCTCAATTATATTGTTAGCTGTTTTGGAATAATAAAATATTCCTAATAATCTTTGTAGATTATGGCTGCCCTAACCAAGCGTGAATTTACCGAATTGGCCTTAGACGGGAGCAACTATTTGACTTGGGCTCTGGATGTTGAGATCTATCTCACATCAACTGAGCTACAAGATACTATTATTGCTAATTAACAAGTAATGCGGCCCAGAAGGCCAAAACACTAATCTTCCTCCGTCGCCATCTTAATCATGGTCTTAAGAATGAATATCTTACAGAAAAGGACCCCTACATTTTATGGAAATCCCTCAAGGACCGCTTTGATAAACAAATATCACTTGTCCTCCCCTAGGCACAATATGACTGGCTGAATTTGAGGTTCCAAGACTATAAGTCTATCACCGAATATAATTCGGTATTACATAAAATTGTGTCACAGCTCAAACTCTGTAAGCAAGAAGTTTCTGACAAAGACTTGATTGAAAAGACTTTGTCCACCTTTCATGCTAGTAACCTTGTACTCCAGCAGCAGTACAGGGCTAAAAACTATACCCAGCATGCTGAGCTGATCTCTGCCCTCCTAGTAGTTGAGAAGCATAACCAGTTGTTAATGCGAAACCATAATGCACGCCCTGTTGGCTCTGCACCAGTGCCTGAAGCACACAATGTTGCCCAGTCGAGCAACACTGGGAGGGGGGGCGAGATAAAGGACGAGGAAGAGGTCGTGGAAGGGGTCCGAGTCGTGGAGGAAGAAATGGAGGCAACAAGAATCAAAACTCCCGCAACAAGCAAAGGCAGCCGAAACATCAAGGACAACCAAGCTCATCCAACAATCATTCCGGGCAGCAACAAGCCTGCTATAGATGTGGGTGCACAGGACACTAGTCTCGTACATGTCGCACCCCGAAGCATTTGGTAGAGGCATATCAGCAAATGATGAAGAGGGACAAAACACAACCTAAAGATGAGTCCCACCATGTTGCATTACCATAAGCAAACACACTTGCTAATGCTGACGATGATGACCTCATGAAGTATGAGCTTGAAGATTTTAGAGATCAAGAATGATTTTTTTTTCTTTTCCCCAATCCTTGTTTTATGTAATAATCGTGGTTTGCCCTCGACAGTTTCTTTCATATTTTTCAGTGCCTGTGTGCATTTTGAACGAATATTCTATGTTCTTTAAATAAACCTTATGATGAATAAAATATCCATCCCTCCTTTTCCTAATTACTCGTTTCTCTATAGAGATATGGGGGATGTTTCGGCTTTATGCTTGGTCGATAGTGCAACCACGCACACTGTTTTGACAGACAGAAGATTTTTCCAAACACTCAAAGAACACGAAGGCAAACTCTCAACAATAGCAAATGATAACATTCCTATTGTGGGCTCTGGAAGAGCTTCACTTATTCTTCCTAACGGAACGAAGTTAATAATTGAAACCGCCCTCCTATATCCTCAATCAAAAAGAACTTTACTTAGTTTCAAGGATATTCGGTCAAATGGGTTTCACATAGAAACTAAAACAAAAAACAATACAGAATTCCTTGTCTTGACCAAAACGGTCAATAACCAGAAAAAGGAAATTGAAGAACTTCCTTCCTTTTTTTCAGGCCTGTATTATTCTTATATCAGGCCCCGGTGAAATTTAAAGATACACATTCTTTCGGTCTATGGCATGACTGCTTAGGTCACCCTAGGTAAACAATGATAAGCCGGATACTTTCTAATTCGACTGGACATAACCTTCTTAGGACAAACATTCTTTCTACAAAAGACTACACTTGTGTTCCCTGTGCAAAGGGAAAACTTGTTGTTCGGTCCTCACGTCCTAAGATTGGTTTTGAGTCACATGTCTTCCTGCAGAGGTTACATGGTGATATTTGTGGACCAATTCATCCTTCATCCGGCCATTTCGATATTTCATGGTTCTTATTGATGCCTCCACCCGATGAACCCATGTGTGCTTGCTGTCTACTCGAAATATGGCATTCGCAAAATTCATGAGCCAAATCATTAGGTTGAATGCCCAATTCCCCGATTATCCTATTAAGAACATACAAATGGATAATGCTGGTGAATTCACCTCGTCAGCTTTTGACGATTATTGTATGGCCATGGGGATTAAAGTGGAACATCCTGTACCATATGTCCACACCCAGAATGGTTTAGCTGAATCCTTATCAAAAGAATTAAGCTAATAGCTAGACCATTACTGCAACTGTCCAGTCTACCAGTCATTTGTTGGGGACACGCAGTATTGCATGCTGCTGAATTGATACAAATCCGGCCAACTGCATATCATGATTACTTCCCTATACAATTTGTACGTGGTAATGAGCCAGACATTTCTCATTTGCGTGTCTTTGGTTGTGCGGTTTAGGTACCTATACCACCTCTACATCGTACTTCGATGGGCCCACATCGTAGGTTAGGTATTTACATTGGGTATGAATCTCCATCTATCATTAAATACCTCGAGCCCATGACAGCAGATCAATTTACTGCACGGTTTGTTGACTGCATGTTTGATGAAGATCATTTCCCAACATTAGGGGGAGAGAAAAGCCCAGCTTCGTAAAAGTGCCAGGAAATTTCATGGGATGAAAAAGATCTTCAATACCTTGACCCACGTATTAATCAAACTGAACTTGAAGTTCAGAAAATAATAAATTTGCAAAAACTAGCAAATAATCTGCCAGATGCGTTTACTGATTATAAAGGAGTAACTAGGTCCTATATTCCTGTAGAAAATGCTCCATCAAGAATAATTGTCCCCAAAGGACCAAATACTAACACCGACACTATCCAACGCCAGAAGCGTGGAAGACCAGTTGGTGCAAAAGATGTAAATCCGCAGAAAAATAAAAATAATAAATAATCACAGTTACTCCAAAATCGTCCTGAAGACGAAATACCCAATGTAAATGCACGTGCTACAAATAAATCTAACACTGAGAATACGGAACACCTTCACCAAGATATGATAGCAAATGAGAAAGACTTGGTTGAAGTAAATATAGAATCTG